GTTGTCTTCTTTGCTTTTTGTAATTTTGTGTTGCAGTATGAAAAAACGAAAGAATTTCAGATCGCGAAACATGCCAGAATCCTGTTTTATTATTCTTTCATTAGTAAATTAATACATCACTTTCGTTATTGATCAGGAACACAGTGTCAGTCGGAAGCCTTAATAATTGTTGTTAATCAGTCGCAATGTTCCACCGTTGGAATTATTTCCTGTGATTATTATTCTTTACGTATTATTCAAGTGGACATTTTCTCAATCACAAAAATTATTAGATACCATTCATGTTCAGCGATTTAAAAAGGAATACTTACAATCATTATATTTAGGTCTCGTTGTCATGGTTGCCCACTCACTGGGGCGTGGATGAAGTGTTGCACTTCGAATTACCCCACTCACCTGATCTCATCCCTAGACATGATTTTGGCCTGGATCCGTTAAACTTAATGCCTAACACTTCCATCCCCCACCCCAGCAAAGAAAATGCACGTTATTGTTAGCATCTTCCCATCAAGGAAAACAATATTATTTAAGTCAAATTCTCTTATTCCAGATGGTTTTATAGAATTTGAAAAATTTTTCTTAGTAATACCAATAATATCATTTCTTTTCCCGGGATAGGACACAGTTCGTTTAACAGGCAGCTATAAAGAACTAAACAGTTAAAGCACTCTCCAATTTTATTTTTTTTGTTTGTATTTATGAATGAGTTAATGGAAAATGAAGGCAATACAGATGTTTGTTTTGTTTGTTTTGTTGGGCTTAACGCCATTTCTCAGCACACGATAGGCTATTCATGGCGGCCAGTATTAATGGTGGAGGAAGAAACAGTGAAAGCACCGGAAAGAAACACCGACCCACGAGAAGCTACTGGCAAGCTTTCTCACATATCCACATTCGCCGAAACCTAGACTCGAACTCACGCAGACAGAGGTGAGATGGCAGTGATCCTTAACGGACAGCGCTTTAGACCATTAGGCCACTCGGGGCCCCTGCAATACAGATGTTTTCGTTGCTCCAATGAACTACTGACCGATGTATAGAGTATAGAGAATTACACATTTTGAAATACAATTATAAATTCAATGTATAAAATAAAAAACACTAACACGTATATTGCTTAACCTATTTCGCTTTATTACTTCGTCAGACTGAATTTAAAATGAAATTCAATATCATTTCTTATGTCATTAAATTTGTTATGTTTCTAAGCGATCAATGATATTTATTATAGGACATAAACAAGATGATGTCACACCTTACATAAGTAACCTAATTGTTTTATTCTTTAGCGAATAATTGATATACTATTATGCATACACAGGTTAGATCATTTATACCTTAATGCACCAAACTGGATCTTAAAGATACATATATTTCCACTGATAAATATATGTAAATTATATCCATAAATGGAGATAAAATGTTTTACTAAGATTAGTATTATGTATAATACTCATTAAAAAAGAACTAGTAAACATCATAATAAATCATAAAATGAACGGATATTTCTGAATCAATTATCAATAATATTCATTATTTATAAAATACTTTATTATTTTATAATTTTAGGTATGAACATCATACTTCTGATGAAATTTTTAACAATTGTCAGCAACATTTCAGGATATAATATTTTATGTTTTAAATTTGCATTATACGTAATGAAATATTAATAAAGCAGTTTATCTCTAAAAATAAATTATAAATTATAGATGCATACACAGACACACATGCATACACAGACACACACACACAAACACACACACACACACACACACATATATATATATATATATATATATATATATATATATATATATATATATATATATATATGTATGTATGTATGTATGTATGTATGTATGTATGTATGTATGTATGTATGCTAAGTTTTTTACTTTCTATTCTCCCAACCCCTCTCAATCATAACTGACAAGCTTCGCAGAAATATGGAATGAGAGAGAAAAGGATTTGGGCTGGAATAAAACCTTGAAATAGAAATTACACCAAAGAACCTACAAGAATATGGTTCATGGTAACGATACTATGCACTTTCCTTGCAATTTATCAACAGTGTTTATCAAAGATACAATGTTGAAAACTACAAAGTTCCTCGGTTACGTGTTCTACATACCTTGATATATTTAATGTTATGATTCGATTTATTTTCTTAAACATACCATAATGTTCTAAAAATCGATTAATATTATTATTATTATTATTATTATTATTATTATTATTATTATTATTATTATTATTATTATATAACTATGAATCTCTCTCTCTCTCTTTCTCTCTCTCTCTCTCTCTCTCTCTCTCTCTCTCTCTCTCTCTCTCTCTCTCTCTCTCTCTCTCTCTCTCTCTCTCTCTCTCTCTCTCTCTCTCTCATAGTAGAATACGGACTAAAAGCTATGAAATGGCGAACATAGAGGATTTTCCGACAATATCTCTGGACTTATGACTAAAGGTAAAAGTTAAATAAAACCGATCAAAGGATAAGAGTGTGAATGACAGATAGACAGAGACAAAGATTTCAGTGAAACCGAGAGAGAGAGAGAGAGAGAGAGAGAGAGAGAGAGAGAGAGAGAGAGAGAGTTTGTCAGTCGATTTTAATATTGCTAAAGCAGAATAAAAACTTAAATCAAGTATGTATGTATGTATGTATGTATGTATGTATGTATGTATGTATGTATGTATGTATGTATGTATGTAGGTAGGTAGGTAGGTAGGTAGGTAGGTAGGTATGTATGTATGTATGTATGTATGTATGTATGTATGTGTATATATATATATATATATATATATATATATATATATATATATATATATATATATATATATATATATATATATATTACCCTTGATGCTTCGTCAGTTGGCTTAATTTCTATTCCACGGTACTTTTCATGCGCATGAAGGTGAATGGTGTTGTAATTTTAATGGTCTCTATATTGAAGTGTTCCTACTGCTCTACTTTTATTATTAAAAGCATTTTTCATGATCAAATCATAAGTGTGCATTATATTGATTTAGTCAATCTGAATAAATATAGAAACCAAGAAAACGAAACAATCAACTAATCAATAGGCAAAGGTGATTGTAAATTACCACTACGGCAGAGACGTAAACAGTTTGTAGCGGACACACTCAGGGATGTGAGGAGATAATTCGCTAGGTAAATACATGGCTGTCTGAAGTAAATCTGATCTTCATTCAAAGTTCAAGCATATTTATTTGTATGTGATATAAATAAAATATATGTACAGTATGTACGCTGTATCAATTATATACCACTCGTAGTAAACCCTAACTACTACTTTCATTGTTTCCGATCTCACGCATGTCGATATGTATCATAAACTGAAAGCACCATTTTGCATAAAGAACATTTATGACTAATACATATACCAACAGTTATAATGCGACGAATAGCTTTACTGACAACGCAACTATTATTAGCTCTACCCAGTTTAGGGAACCACATGGTCATATTGTACCTTACTAAAAAAAAAAATACAACATTTTGAATGAACTCGGTTATCAAATAAACATTTTCGATAGAACATCGCAATTAATTAAATATAAAATAATTTCATCTGTTTAGTATCATCACAACTGCATGGTAAAATATGTAATAAATTACTTCTAATAAGGTAAATATAAACAAAGAAGAAAATTTTAAAACTTTCCACTTTTGTTCTAAAACATTGAGTAAAATCGAAAAAGTCGACCATAACAATCGTAAAATATACTCAAAATTTAATAAATTAATTGCACATACGTCATTAAGAGAAACAATATATATTACTGTATTTTCTTCTGCCATTTAAACTGTTCAATATGAATATTATTTTGCAGATGCTTTTTTTGGACGAAAAAGGAGAATATTCTGTTAACTGGAGCATTACCTTTCATTTATGAAGCGTAGTTTCCCTGAGTGTAGTTAACGCAACAATGTTTGCTGTTCCTCGAGATCATGCTCACTCGACTCTCGTGTCAGCAATGGTAGCAACCCAGTGTGTATTTCTGTGTAGGTGCGTCCATCATTCAGTGTGACATTTTTTGTAGTCGGCTATGGTAAAAATGTGTACAAGGTTTCTAAATATAATTTATTGTAAAACATTAGGTCCCAAACCTGAATACATAATTTTTCTATCATATTTTACAATTAGACCAAGGGACTGCATAAGTAACTAGTCTTTCAAACTTCGATTCAAGAGGAAAAGTGGAATATAGGAAACTGCAAATGATACCAGTTCTGTCTTAACGCCAGGTATATTTAAGTTGCAGTGCAAACATATATTTTAGCAGGTGATGTCGGCAACGGTGACATCACGCTTTTTGGTGGAATATGAATGATGGCTGCACGCATGCGTGCCTACCTACCTACTTACCCCTTACCACAGAATGCCGGAGTGTAATGACAATGTGCCTTAGGAGTTGTGAATGGCATATAAGTGAACAAAAACACTGAACATCAAGACGTAGAACATAACATGAAGGTACATGTCGATTTCAGTCCGTTTAAGTAACTCCCGGTCTTCCAATTAAAAGTACTAAACCTTGTATAAGAGTTTTAATGTCAAAATCATTCAATTGCGAAAGCCACTAGAAAACAACAATAATGACTATTTAGATTCTTATTTGCTATGATAAATTCGATAACATAGTTTTGGACAAATAACAGTAATCATGTGAAATGATTTGTTTCAGTGATATCCATTTTCAAAAGATACGGATTCTTGGTGAGAACTTTTTACGACCATTATTTGGAAACTGATATTCATGGATGTGTTTTAAAACATTGTCCTTCTCAGCAATACTAAAGTTTTTTTCTTCCAAAATCAGCTGGTGATTCAGAATTAGCAACGTTCCGTCATGTAGTGTACATAAGATAAGTGTGCGATACGTAATGTCATGCAGAACAAATGAAGACTTCCAATACGCGAAACCAGAGAACCGAGAGAACCCACGATACCGTAATATTCACTTCTTCCGCCGATGACCTAGTGGTCAGAGCGTCCGCCTCAGATGCGGGAGGTCGTAGGTTCTAACCCCGACCTAGTCATAACAAAGACTTAGACAAAAAGTACAAACAGGTGCCTCGCTAGGCGCTAAGCATTAAAAAGACAGCGTTAGGACTGGTCGACCTGGTGTCAGTATACGGTAACAGGTTGGGACATGATGCAATAGGTCTAAGGCATGATGCTCCAAGCTAAACCTCACTATAAACTGCCACATTAGAGATATTATTGCGATTTGAAAAATTGTTAAAACTACGATTAACTCTAAATCACTCACCCATACATTTCCTATCCTATTTATTATTCAGAAGTTTATTTCGGCTTATATTAACAATGCTATTTAAGCTTCGATTGATACGGTAGCAATCTAAATTTAGTTCCAACTGTCTTCCAACAACTCGCCAGTCAAATAAAATTAATATCCCGACCATAATAGATATGCATCTAAAATATTTGACTGTTCCTAATTACGATTTATTTGGTTCTTTCTTTTGAAACCTAAACTCTACCTATCGAGCACAATACATATACATTTGTGAGTGACAACATTTACATATATTGATCTCCAGTTGCACATCTTACTGTAAGCTAATATGTTACTGTTACTTCTATCCTGAAATTTCTAAATGTGTCTTCTTGTACAATTGAACCAGATAAAATAATGTTCATTCGGTTATTTATATATATATATATATATATATATATATATATATATATATATATATATATATATATATATATATATATATATATACATATATATATATATATATATATATATATATATATATATATATATATATATATATTTGAAACCATTATCACTTCAGATGCTGTTATAAGCGTAATTTACGGCTACATCCAATGAAACACAGTTCGCCCAGAACAGCTCATTCTTATATTGTATTATAAACTCTTCTCTTGCATTGCATACACTAACTTATTATTCAGCTATGTTTTCTAAATGTCCTGCCCCAACTTGTAACGTTTTGAAAATATAATCTGCAATTCTATATGTCCTTAGCAGAAAGGAGCTTCTGTACATAAATAAATGTCACAAAAATGTTGCAGACACTACACATGAAAATATCATCGCTTTGGCAGGATCTGACAAGCATTTAACCCACATTCAAGTTGCTTACCACTCTAAAATTTTCTTTCTCCATTACTTTTATTACAAAGCAATGACCTTGTGTATTAACGATATTGTTTCATACATTTGCAAAGCGTGTTCGAGGTAAATATTAATCGGGTGGATTTGATACAGTGAGTTGAACTAATGTAGTTGACGCATTAGTCCGAAGCATCTTCTTTATTTGGAGTTATGCATTTTTAAATGCATTTTTAACGGCTCGTTCATTTTCTCCGTTGACTTTACAGATACGGTCCTTACAAATAACATGCAGATTATTTAGTGTCGTTATTGATGTCTTTGAAGTCTGCAGGTCTATTCAACCTGGAAGATCCCGTAAGTCTCAGTCAACTATACTATTTAGGGTTTTGATTACATTTTTATCAAACAGGTGAATCAGAAGATTACTTCAAGCAAAATACCAACATTATATATTGCTATTACAATACATGCTACTGCTGCAGATTTCTTTCATTATTACTAGTAGCACATTCTAATGTAGCTAGTATTTTGCGTTTCAATTCAGTTATAAGAAAATTTATCACTTCTAGATAGCATGTACTTGGTCAATTTCCACAGTGAAAACCATAATCTTTGTAAGTTTATTTAACTATATATATATATATATATATATATATATATATATATATATATATATATATATATATATATATATATATATATATATAAAATCATTCCTCATCCTCTTAATCAATGCTGATACTCAGTCTCCATTATTCTCATTGTGTCTGTCAATTTTGATTTGACCATCGATTGCACAGAGCAAAATTAAGCAACGAAGATACATATAAAGGCTCTTATCATAACTGTTTAACCTGTAACCTGTAACATTTAAAAGCAAGACTTATGTCTCTAATGTCTTTCCATCTCTTTCAATATCTTTTGTTCTCCTAAACACACGATTATATATCAGTTCGTGTTTTAATGTTCTGTATCTCGTTTTTGACTATTTTGTTTCCTGTATGCTTGATTTTTTGTGCAAATCATTATGTTAATTATCATCAATAATTTTCGAATTACTGTTATAAGAATTTACTATTTGGTTACTCTTGCAAATAAATATAGTATTTGTTGAAACAAGGAGGCGCAAATCAAAAGAAAAGTTGAGAGGAAAAGCATTGCTAGCAGAATCCAAAAAAGCAGTGTTAAATGTCAGTTGTTTTTTTACATATATATATATATATATATATATATATATATATATATATATATATATATATATATATATATATATATATATATATATATATTCAGAGAGAGAGAGAGAAAAGAACGAGTTTCATGTGTTGATCATAAGGATTAGAAAAATCCTGTGGAACCTATTGGTGTTTATTCTAAGAATTCAAATAAAATATAATATCTTCTATGCAACCAGAGATGAAAGAATAGCCATGAGCCAATTGATGATTATCTAAGTTAGGTCTAGACTTTTATTGACGAGTGCCTGCAGCGAAAACATAATTTATATCACAAGAGAATAAAAATTTGTAAGGATATTTATATTCTGTTGAAGTCTCAAACAAAAATTATTGCTTATAAAATTTAATAATGAACATTCCTAACTGTAATATATTTGCCTGCATTTACAAGAGTTACGCTATTTTATCTCTGATGTGCATTAAGATTAACATCAGATAAGTTCTACAAATTTATTTTCCTATTTACATTTGACTACAAAATTACACATTATAGCCTTTTGGTTTATGGTAAAACACATAGAAAACAAAGAAATGTCTGTTTTGTATTATTATTAAAATATGTATGTATTGGTGTCACGGAATAATATTAATATATTTCTTTACTAAATACATATACTCGTATTTCGTTTCTTGTTTAAAAAATAGCCGAGGGTGATTGATGTATATTTGACAATATTTCGAAACAAATTAGTTCTGTTCAATTTATGCTGCACGCGTGAAATGCCTTCGATGGGAAAACGCGTATTTATGAATTTCACAGACGATATAGAACTACATTATCTGTGTATTAATACCTCAGAGCATAACCAAATCGACACGTTACTGACCGTCTGTCAGTCAGAGTTCTACTTTGAGACCTGCATATCTCCAGCTGTAGAGGTATATATTTTATTTGAATATATGTATTGTACGTTAAAACTATTGTACTATCATGTTAATTTTCGTATTTCTGTAGCATTGAATAGTATATAATATAATGCTAATAGTTTTTATTCACGTCTATGACTTAGCAAGAACTTTACAAAATTGCAGTAATAAACCGTTTGGTGTATTATGAATCGTATTATTCACGTTCACTTCTGAACCTGTTTGTTTTGTATCGCAAGACTGATAATGCACTATTTATAACTTATAATTATATACCCGTGTCATGCATAGCACACGGTATTAGAAGTATTTATCAGCTTTAGAGCTGTAGCGCTGTGGCTGTGGCTGTAGCTGTGTGGTTTTTCGAGCGTTTTCGGATTATTCGAGTATTTCGATGATGATTGGAGTAATCCATGCTGACCGTTGCTAGTCGCGATGCAGGTGATCTTATATTGCATACTAGTGTAGTGGGCGCTAATTGCTCGTCTGATCTAGGAATCAATGGTGATCGGTAACTTATATAATCTTTACTTGTTTGGCCAGTGGAACAAGTGGCAAAGAGTGACGTGAAGAAGTGAAGAGATATCTTGTTATATCTGCTTTATTAGCACTTCAGTATTTTAAGTGAGTAAAATATCAGTTCACTATTTTTTGTGAGTAAACTATCAGTTCACTATTACGTGAATGAGATAAATGTCAGTTCACTATTTTGAGTGAGTAAAATATGAATTCGCTATTTTGAGTAAGAGCTTCGTTTGTTTTGCTATTGTGTAAAACTCGTATTCTCATTTTTGTGATATACCATGAATCATTATTTCTTTTTTATTCTGGTACCGTATATGAAAATGTGTTTGCATTTACATTTGTATTTGTTGCATGTGGATATGTTAATTCGTCTATTATTTGGATCCTTTCACACACGTATCAATCATATTTCTTTTCGTATTTTCATATATCATGAAATATTGTTTGTATTACCATCAATAATGTTTTTTTGTATATCCCGAAATCTCAAACTCGATTATTTTGTGGCATTTGATAGTCATTCCTCCGGTATTTTGTCGTAAATCACTTTTCCTTCATCGTACCGCATTTCCTTAGGATTTTGCTCTTTCACTTTTCTGTAGCACGCATTATGTAAGTAATTTCCCGTTCATGTTTACGTTGTTGAGCCCAAAAGTATGTCGGGATAACATCTATCATTCTCAACTATAATTTGTAGCTTTCATTTTATCACGTCAGAAATGTGACCCTCTGACACTTTTATTCACGCCAATACCATATACATCAGTGTAGGGATTCTTTTCATTCTCGTGCTTGTAGATTGTCTATGGACTATGTCATTTTCATTTTTCCATAACAAAGATGTTACCACGATTGAGTGTGATTAAGTCTGCTACGGAATGGATCGTAGTGACCCTGTTGTAGCTACTGTCATTTTACTTGCTCTGCAAAATAACCACGTTTTCTGAGACTTCTTGCTATCTGTTGTGGATACTTGCACAAGGTAATTTAAGATTGATATATTATATTGCTTCTTTTGATCAACATGCTTATTTTGTGTCAGCAGCAAGTCAACAATTACCGTCCAAATATATACTTTTATTTTCGATAATTTGCAGAATTTGTTCAGACCAGTCAAATATGTGAATGACTTCAAATGTATATCTTAATTGGTTGACATATATAACGAGCTACTGAGTGCCATTTCAATTATCCATGCGTTACCACATTTTTGGTGGGGGGCCCCGAGTGGCCGAGTGGTCTAAAGCGCTGTCTGTTACGGATCACTGCCATCTCACCGCTATCTGCGTGGGTTCGAGTC